AAAACCAAAAACGGGAAGAGATCTGGTGTTTTGGCTAAATTAGACATGAAAGGTCCGCCTTAAAAAAAGTTAACTATATACTGCCTCCACAAAATATTCTGCGTGAATGTTCGACCGGAAACTTCATAAATAGCTTTACAATTTCTGTGAGAGACAATGAAGGTGAAGTTTTTGATTTCAATGACTTGTCACTTGAATTTGAATTAGAAAAAAATAAAAAAAACTGATACATACAACTTAATGTCCTCAGCGAATGTGTTGCCAACTGCCCCAGAATTGTTTCAACACAAAAGATCTATCCGCAACTTCCCAATCAACCTGACAATTTCTGTTTGGAAAAATAAATGACATTGCCCTCACATTAGCGCAAAAAGTTAACCACTACCGACTTGTGGCCAAAAAGTATAAAAGAGCAAAAAAGGTAGTTAACTGGGGTGCTGGGGGCTCTAATTTTCTTTCAGCAGCCTTTTCAAGTGCCAGCTTACGTTCAGCTTTGTCTGTGGTTGGATTACCGCCTACAATACCATTAGGTGGTGTAGGTAATTGTTATAAAAAAAAACATCAAGAGATTGTTACAGTTGCTATCGCAAAACATGAAACTGTTGACTGGCTTTTTTCCAAAGCTATGGTTGATAACCAGGTATCTGACACAGAATTTCAGTTAATTATGACTGAATTTTCACAGTGTAATGTGCCAAAAGAAGTCGTTAGGGCTAAACTTACCTGCCAGCCATCTCGTAAAAATGTGGCTGATGTTGAAAAAGTGAAAAAAGACATCTGCAGCAAGGTAGAAGAAGTGTTTCGACAAAAACTGAACACCCTTAACTGAAGTTTGAATTAACATTTGAAAATACACGATTCTATTTCCATATTGTAAAAGCATGATTGTAATCTCTCAGATGTTTATGTTTCTTGTGAATGAATATTTCATGCCAGGGTGGCAAAAAACATTAGAGAAATTGCATGCGAAGTAATCTAGTGCTTAAATAAAGTCTCGTTTTGATGCGGTTTCATTGCTGCACAACTCCCCATTACATGTTTAAGACCTTGAGGTTTTCATAAAAGAAACTACGGTTTCACAACTTCCTTTTGTATTCCTCTTGGCTTCAGCTGAAGCCAAGAGGAATTTTTGATGCGATCAGGAATGTAAAGCTCATTCTGAAATTGTACAGGGAACTGGGGTGAGTTTCAAATTTTAACCAATCGATAAACTGACAGCACCACATGAAAGATCCCATTGAGTAGACATTTGACCACGTTTGATGCTTTTAAGGGGAAGAGAGACCAAGTTATGGACCTTGAAACATGGTTCAAAATCCATACAAACATCTCTTAAATGTTGAGACAGCGTCCCCCAAAACCATATAAATTTTTTATCGGTTTTGTGACAACTGTAAAATCCAGTCATTCACCTTAACCATTTTAAAGAAGCAGAGATGAAAATCACGTACATGTATGTTTGGCCATTTTTGAGAGTATCACAGAAATCATAAAATAATTTAAGATGAAACCTGATAGAGAATACAGCAATTTCAGGTTTTAGTGGACAAAAATCTGGTACCAGAATAATTTCAAGTGTTTTATTGTCCTTTTAACACTTTCTTAAAGCTAAAGATATAAATAGATGCCTAACATAACAACGTAAACAATTTCCCATGGGAACGAGAGAAAATAGATTTCAAAGTTCGGAGAAATTGTGCAAACACAGGTAAAATTTCATCATCAGTTTCATTTCACCAGTACTTTCAAGTGCTTCATATATACGAAGTTCAACACTTGTTTTTGACATTTGGTGTTGCTGGAAATGATTTTTTTGAGAAGATATTTTAAAACAGTCGTACAGAAGTTTGCGATATGATGTAAATAATCTTGGCACTCAGTTTTTGTCCACTTGCTACTAAAACTTCTGGTGGATTCCACCTTAAGAGTTTAAATAAAATAAAAGATGGGACATCTTTATTTTCCCTTCTCTAAGAGCTGAGATTCTAGAAAATAATTCCCATAACCCCCCTTATATATGTGTGTAATTGTGTTTCGCGTTTGGGTTTGTTGTGAACAATGTTTTTATTTATTTATTTTTTATCAAAGGGCTTTTATGAGCCACCTCTTGAATAACAGGCAGTGATATAAATTTCAAGGATTTGTTTCAAATTCCATATTTGGAGTATGAACAGCAGTTGTTATCCCCTAAGGTATCACTCAAAGAAACATTCAAATAAGCATTAATGACGACTGAAAAGATGTTTATTACATGTGACGTTTTTAAATTTCAGCAGTTTGGTTCTTTTTCACCAAGAAATATTTACATTTAATGTGAATCAAATAGTCAATTTTATTCCCTTGCATTGTAATCCTTAGAGCCTAAACGTTCATGTTGAACTGAGCTGTGCAGCAATTATTCCATTTATTACTTTTTACTACAGAGAGAGGAAACTTTTAAAAACTGCTATGAAATACTTAGTGGATTGGGGAATGAGCAAAACTGGCAAGTTGAACTGGTATACCACAGTTGTTCCTGAAACTGATTCTTTCTCTTAAAGAACACAGGAATATATAAAACTAGACCCACTAGTCTTTAATGTATTTGAAACTTGAAACAATACAGGATGTTTATTCACCTTTTAACACACCAGGTAAAGAAATAGATTGATCATCATTATTTGCATCATCATTATCATCAATAAGGTCTTTTGGCCCAGCTTCTGTCATGTTGCTACTGTGAAGAAATTCCTGAGGGAATACACAAGGGATACATTACCACATTTTACTTTTAGAATGACCTCACAACAATTTATGTGTATTACCTTCATGCCATCTAAAGAAAGGTTGGTAGAAATTTCAAATCGTTTTAACAGCATCTACAACACAACAAAAGAAAAGTATGAATATTTAAAGAAAATCTCTTAATGGAGTTAAACAAAACCAAATGCCACCATGGGAACTTATGTTGACATTACAGACACGAAGTGCAACTAATTTAGTCATAATTATGTTTAATGCTAATTTATGTATTTAAAAATGCAGATTTATCTTTTAAACAACCAGATCTGAGGTATGCACCTGAAAAATGCTGTAACAAGTTCACCTTCAAACCATAAGTAAATAAACAGGTTTTCTTTCAAAGAACTGACACCGCTTGTTTCAAGGTGTGACTGCAGTAGCATCAACATCATCAAATAGCCCCTCTCCATTAGTTTGATGAATACAACATTATCACACATGGAAAACTTGACACAGCTGCCAAGACTGGTTTCCCCTTTGTGTTTCCCTCTTTGTGGTTCAAGAAAAACAAAATTGCCAAACTGGTCACCTTTCTATCTCTGCCACACCGGCTTACTGGTACATAGTAAATTCTCACAACTTAACCTAATTTTCAAGAAGTACCCCACCCAATAAATGTCCCATTTGGAGGATGTCTTTCACAAGTGACTCTACTGCCATCATTGCCCCCTATTCTAGTAAGTACCCTTCACAAGATGCTCTTGTTTTCATCCCATTCACAGATTTACCAATAAAGACTCTTAAATTATAAACAGCACCAACCTGTTGATCAACATGATATATACAAACAAACTTAGATCTGCCTCCTGCCAAGATGCACTTTCCATCAGCAGTGTAACAGAGGCTGGTAAAACATCTGTCGTAAACAGGCAACAAGAACAAAGTAACATAAGAGCATACACAACTTTATTGACTACTTTGTGCTAGTGGAGGTAAAGACATTTTAATGTCTTAAAAGACTCTCAGAAAATAATCGTAATGTCACCAGTCTATATGGGGAAATTTCCCATTTTGATGTGTCAGTACCAAAGTGTTCTGATGACAAGTTTCTTTATCTTAAAAGACAAAGACAGGGGACTCATCATATCAAGTATTATTTTTTCCCAAGAGGGCACGGTAACGAATCCTGCAATCTGATTGGTTCTTAGTGCGGTCCAGATTTTCCTATCTCTGACCACGATCAAGGTAACGGCGGGAAACAGGGCAGGTGAAATTGTCGTGTTGGTCAGTTTTCCTGAGTGAATCGGAGGTAATCGTCAATCTTTTGCCCCTTTACACTTCCATCAACGATTAATCAACAGGAGTTTAGCTCTATTCACTTTTAAATGGCAAGGAAAGTCACCGTAAGTAAATTCAATTGAGTGTTTTGAAGTTGTGAGACTTTGTTTGGTTGTTTGTAACTCGGCGCTGAAATGGCATGTAATCTTGTGTTTCTCTTGCCACACAATTTTAAGCCAAAAAAGTCAATTGCAGTCGAGTTTACCTTTTTGATCATTGCTATGTATTTAAGAGAATTTCTGTGGAATACAGTGAATGAATTTCTTTGCTTTCTGCTACTCAGTTTTACGGTAAAAACAAGTCTGATTTCCAGTGATTTGCAACAATGGTTAGAAATTGTTTTTGTGGCACAACTTCAAACTTTACTCAAAATTCCACACCAGAAAAACAATTTTGGGGAGCCAGGAGCTCCTGGAAGAGCTTAACTGGTGAACTAGATGAAACTAACATAAAGTAGTTCGAAATTACTTTGTTCTTTAATGCATTTTTCTTTGTCTAGTATCTGAGTTACTTTTAGTACCAGCTGGTTCACTTGTTAGCTTTTTGCGATGGTTTGTACATGGCGCGTAAGCCAATTCAATGACAAAGTTGTATAAACAAACCTGCTTGTAAGCCAATTTACCGCAGGAAAAAATAAATTTGTTATTTTCCGGCTTAGGGTCGGTCCATATAGTGAAAAGCTGTGACCTTGGGCTTGAAAATGTCGGTCACAGTTTTTCACTATACGGACCTCCCAGCCGGCAAATAACATTTACCTCTTACCACCTAGTGACAACAAAACAAAAACATTCGTAATGACGAAAGTTTTGGAATTGTACTTGAAAAATGGTGCCTAGAACAGAATTTTTCACACTAACTTTGCAAAGCTCATGGTCTGAGCTGTAATCTTATCTGAAGTCCTCCTCACAGGGGCAAGGTCCCTACGTCCTTCCACTGATCCACTCTGAATGCCCGTTCTTAGGTCAAAGAAGGTGATCTGGCAATCCAGTGATGCCACGGCTACCTGTGCACCATCAGGACGCACAGACACTGTCAAAACTGTTTGAACAAAACAAAGAACAAAATTAGTGGGAAGTTGTTTATTTCTCATTCCTTTTTAACCCATGATTGTGGAACATATTATGCAAATTAAGTTGGTAGATCATCTGTTAAGGTATCATGGTAGGTGGATTGACAACCTATACATTTTCTGAAAGCTTAATAGTTATAGAATACAAACATATCTTTGAGATTTTCTAAAAAGTTATGGTCACAGTGATATTAAAAGAAATAGCCAGAAACACTGCTTCGCTTAAACTAGTTCGTTTCCGTGCGAGAATTATTGGAGCGGCGCGATTTACATCGGAAATGTTTCCTCACACATCACCTGCAAAAAGGGTGTCTGTGATTTTCCAGATAGGGTTTGGTTTTTTTCTACACCCTACTAAACTTTGATATTTTCAATGCGGACGTTTCCTTCTACTAAAGAGGCCATAACTTTGAAACGGAAGCAAATTTAAATGAAGCCCAACACCCTTTTTCGAAGGAGGTATCCTGGAACATACCTGCCGATTTTCCACCAATTCCATCGGAAGGCACGCGTAAATGAACGAGAAAAAGATGAAAAACCTTGTGTGAAATTGGTTTGAATAGGTGTTAAAAATCCCCTCCATGCTGACAGATGTCGGCATGGGTCAGTTTACCACAACAATGGGTTATGACAACTTGAAATAAAGAGACAACTACAATTCTGGTGCAGAAAACCCGTCGCAGTGAAATCGCCTGAGAAGCGACAAACTACAAGTTAAACTGCTGTGATTTCATCGGCGGCATTGGCATTATGCTGCTTAAGTTCAGGCTTCTTTGTTCTCCAGACATTTTTTGAAACCATGCCTCTTGAAGCCAAAAAGAGGAAATCTCGAGGTCTACATTGTCTACATCTACATCTGCACTTGACTCTCGTTGAGGAAGTTTCGGAATCGCGTCTGTTCTCCAGCAATTTCATGCAACTAGCACTTGTTGTATTTTGTCCTTTAGCTTCATTGGAAGGACTAGTGTCCTTGAGTTCCTTCAGCCATTCTTCTTCTCAGATTAATTGTGTTAAAATTTCCAGTTCTCTTGTTGATCTTGGAAAGTGTTAATTAATCATTCGGGCCTATGCCATGCAACGATGGCATAGATGCTGTGAAAGGTTTGATTCAACTCAACATTGAGTTACGATGTTGGTAAACAGTTTTTAAATAACCATCCTGCTGTGGGTATTTTAAGTCAGTAGAAAAGATCTTTGTGATAGTTTACTCTCAATGTCTCTTACTAACCAAGCTTGTGGTCTGTACTGTAAGTCACGGACCAAGTTTTTTCCTTTCGATTTATGGCCCAAGCGTGAAGCATGCAGGCCATAAATCGAAGGGGAAAAAAACGAGAACCTGTAATGTTAACTTACAGTACAGACCAAAAGACGAGGTTAGAAGTACTATTTCCACAACGAGAGTGAGTGTTTCATTGGGGCATCCAAACACCAAGAAACAATTGAAAGCAATTGGCCTACAGCCTTGTGCTTTTATTGTTTCAAGGTGTTTGGATACCCCAGTGAAACATGAACTTGAGTTGTGGAAATAGCTTCTCATTGCCAACAAATTTGAATTGTTCGTAATACTAGCATTCCTTTTACAATTATTTCGATATAAGTGTTGTTTTTCTCATGCGTCATTAGTTTGCTTCCCAGTTTTAAGCAAATGTTAAACAAAGACTTCCAATTTCAATTGTTTGTGCGGCGACATTCTTTCCTAAAATAATTTCAATATGAATGACTGTTTCTTACGCATTATTTTACAGTGCAATTTCATCACGCTGTTGAAAGTTCAGCATTTGCAAGAAGTCGTTCGGTCAGGATGTATGCTGCAACAAAGTCGTTTGAGAGATTTTGGCAACCCATAAACCTGGAGGAGGAGACGAAAAGTATAGATAATGCAGTGCCGCAATTAACAGCTTATAAAACTCAATGGTCATGTACATTGTTTAAGGAATGGAAACAGAATTGATTGGCGAAGTGCTGTACCTTGGAACCTTACCATGAAAGACTTGAAGAAGGTGTCAAAACATTAGACAAGACCATTACAGACATGTATGCATGCAGTCTCCACTACTGGCTGTCAAAATTTGTACAAGAAGTAAGGAACTCTGCTGGGGAACGCCATCCTTCCCGTTTGTTGTACTCAATAATTGAGTACAATGAACAGGAAAGATAATAATTATTATTTGTGGACTGAAATGCCATACTGGCCAACAAATATTCATTGTCTTGAGCACGTTGTAAATCTTCATGCATATTTTAATCAAGTGGTATATACCATCTCTCATTGGAGAATGGTATACTGTATTTCGTTGGGTATCCAAATGCATGCATGTGATGAAGTATATATCTAGTGGTTGGAAGTTGGCTTAATGAATTATTAATGAGGTTGAGAAAGATATTTATTATAATTATCTCTACTGTGTGCCTAAAGGGTTTGGGAACGATTTCTATTTACGTGGAACGGCTTCAAATTTCAGCATGTTTGAATACACAATTAAAAGTAAAGGAAAGATTTAAACTTTTACTTGTTATAAAAGTTATGAACATTAACGATAAATTGCAAAACATTTTAGAAACAAAAACTTCAAATTTTAGTGGGCTGCACAGTGCAATACGGCCTGCTAAACTGACCAATCACAGCGTGCGTAGTAGCTGAAAGAAATAATAAGAATCATTATTTTCTGTTAATGAGGCTTTGGTGGTTTCTTATTAAATTTTTTCCTCTTTTCCTCTTTATAACATTAGTGCTGTTTATACGAAAAAAGTAAATCCATATTACACAAGGGTTAGCCCACTTCATTCATCATTCACAGGTTTGCTAAAGGAGCACTCTGATTATTGAATCAATCAACAGTGTGTTTCACATAATTTCAAATTAAGTCAGTGTAATGGTGGTAACTTAGCTATGTATCAATTGGAGGTTGGCACAGGAGAATTAACCGCTGTAGCAAGTTAATTAAGCTGATCTTTTGAGTGTGAGCCCTTCATCAGAGTAAAGTGGAGGACTGTGGGTTGTGTGTGTGTTTATATAGTGGAGCATAGTATTATGCTAAGGGAGGAAGCATACCAATAGAAAATGTCTGTATAAATTAGCTAAATAAAAAAAATTTTCTTGATCTCATTGGGAGCTAAGTTAATGAAATAAAGTTGACTCTCATGTTACTTTGATTGAGAGAAATACCAACAATAATCAAGTTTCTCGACAAATGGCTGGGGAGATTAAACATTTGGAGACAGGTTTAGAGGCATCTTGGCCTTTGATTTTTACATCTCTTAAATGAAACAATCTCTAGTTTTCTTCCCATCTCACCAATGTAAAGTATTTTGCACAGAGTCCTTAGTTATGCAGTAGATGACACTTGCCCACTGATGCAGTCCAACAATTTCTTTAGGAACTAATGCCTTTGTTCGTTCAATGCCAAGTATGTTAGCCAACCAGCAGTCAAGAGCATCAGCTCTCTGCCATCAGAAAACATCTTAAGAACAAAGACCATGTTGACACCAACAATGATCTGACTAGTAATTTGTCCATCATAAAGACATGCTGAGGAAATATTGACTGTCTAATCATTCCCAAACTAAAAATTAAATTGTGTACAACTACAGTTCTAGTTCTTCTATTCCACACAATGGAAAAACACATAAACTGCCCCCAATGTCATACAATATGGGTATAGTATGGTATCTGAAATTTTTCAGGCCTCTTTAGAATTGTCTATTAAAATTAATAACACAAAGCTGTCATCACTATAATGGCACTAACCGTCAGATCCCAAATTAAGGGTTTCCCATGACACTTTGCTATCATACATGTTCCACAGCCTGACAGTTTTGTCCCAGGATCCTGATGTCAAAAGTGGTTGAGATGGACTGAACACCAGCTCTGAAATAGGTCCCTCATGGCCGGAAAGTACCTGTGAATAAATCAAAAGAATCTAGAATCAAAAAAATTGTTTTCCTGCTCTGGAATCATGATTTTAAAAACAATAAAAAGAATAATTTCTGTACTCAGAGCACAATTTAGAGTCTTAAAAGTGGAATATATCATTTGGATCTACCAAACTTTGTAAGCCACAATACAAATTTGAATGTTAAGAAGGGTTATATGTTCATTACCATCTCAAGGGATCTAAGATGGTGTCATAGATGCTGGCTAATTCAAAGCCATTGTCTCTGTTCAAAGAGGGCTTATGTAATCTGATCTCAATTGCCTCCCTTACGCGGCGTTTGAACATGTTACTTTCCGTGGCAAGAACTTTTGTTTTGCTAAAATCTACTGAACGTCCTGTGAGCTGGCAATGTTCCTGAACAGCTGACGAATTCCTCAAAAGATGTTACTGTACTCAAGTTTCTAATAAACGATAAGTTTTGCCAACATAAAAATTATTCTTTGTCACATTGTTCAAAATGGATGTGATAAACTGTTCCACACTTTTTAAGGTTTTCTGTTTTATCCTTAACATGAACTAGTTGTGATCTTAAGGAATTGAAAGGCTTGGCATCGTGTGATTTAAGAGTCAATGTCAGTAATTTTCAACTGGGGCCGCACAATAGTGAAAAAACGAAAAATCTGAAAAAATTTCTCAAGATAGCCCTTGGTGAACTATTTCTAAAAATATATAGTTTTCCTCGATCCGATAAATATTTTGGATGTACGGAGATAAACTTGGTTTCACAGCTCTCAGACCAGATTTTAGGCGTCTGATACCAAACACCGCTGAAGACCTCCTTGAAAAATCAAAACACCTTTTCCACGAAACAGCAAGTAACTAATCAAACAAAGCAGACGATAATACACATTTTGGGTGGTGATTTTCTCAGTTTAAGTCAAAACTGAATTTTTTATAAATTTTCCAGTATTTACAATAATTCAAGCGATTTTTTGTGCCGCAAAATTCACAAAATTAAGGGCCTAAAATCATTGACTGGTACCTCACCTGGTGCATCGAGACTTATTCCACGTGAAAGAGCACTATTTCTTCTTGCAAAATCCATTTTCAAAACTATGGGCTACTTAAAATAAAATTTTTGAGGTCGAAAAATACACGCAGTACTTTAGGGAAATTTGAGCTCTTTGAGAATGGCATACCGATGTCGAAAGGTCACACAAACATAACAATAATATACTTTTGAAACTCAGCGCTTTGATAATATTTGCTGTCACTCACAAACTAATGTTTACAAGACTATTTTACGTGATTTGCCATCTCTTTTGAGGAAAAATTAAAGAATTTGGCCGTTTATTTTGATCTTGAGTTCTTAAGTGTTCATGGGTCACGTAATGTTTCTCAAGGGTTGAAGGTGAGGCACTCGTTATCAAATCAAATTAAAACATTTTCCAGACAGAAATTGCTCTCTAACACACACAGTAATATCTTGAAATGGATGGCTCTTCAGACCTTTTGGCAGGCTTTCTGGACATTCAAGAAATCCTGGACTTACAACTCGTAAACCACACCTCCGACGAATTCAAAGCAATGGATTACAGTTGATTGCGTTACAATCCACAAGGAGACCGCTGGTTAAAGAACTATAAGGTTGATCAAGCCAAGGAAATTCAAGAATTATTTGAATAAATATAAATTTTGAAATGACCCGCTATCACTCTGAAAGTTGCATGAAGACGATGTTACTGTTGTAATTATTATTAATTTTTTGAGGAAAAAAAAAACTGTGGGTTTGGCGTGGGCGGGTGGAGAGAACGAAACATTTCCTGCATTTCCTTATATGGTGACAAAGATAATCCTTCACTGTGTAAACTTGGGAAAGAACATCATCTCATTTGTTTAGGTATTTATTGGATTTAATGCACTTGAACCTCTTTTACTTTACCTTATTTGGATTATGATATCGAAAAATACTCGTGTCACTGTGAATTCAGAGTGCTACTGACAGAGTCGTCTGTTACGCTATGTTTGTTGTTGTTGTTTTTGTTCTGAATTCGTATTGGACTTTCAACACGAGAAATATTGGGTATCGTGTTTGAAGTAAATGTGTTGAATGGCATTGCGTGAATATACTGCTCAAGTTAGAGGACAATGTGGAGCTAGCACAGAAAACCCAGGCAGCTCTCGATGTATCTCAATCGTAAAGTGTGACAAGGACATAAGAATTCACCTGAGGTCTTTTGGTGCTGGGTTTGTGAATTCAAACGTAAAGACTTAGGCAGGACTTCCTCTTGCCAGGGCAGGTATGCATTAACGCAGATCTTTGGAAATGTGAACTTAGCAGGCTTTCTGCTCAAGTGTATATATTAGAAGATTGGGGGGAGGGGGGCGGAGTTAATGATGTAATGACATACCTAAGCCCTAATTTGAAACAGTACAGTGGGATAGCATGTTCTTTAAATCAAGCTTATTTCGGTGTAAAAATACCGTAATAGTTTAACCATCTGAAAATTCCACGTCCAAGCCTCCTGGTGGACACTGGACGAGCCTAGTGATTCTAATGCTTGGACAGAATATAGATGAATGTACTCTTTGAGTGGGCAATATGCATTATGAGCGTTTGTTTTCTCATACGTNGCAGCCACTGCACCTGAAGATGGTACGGCATTTAAGTGACTTGTTCAAGCCTCTAATGTTTACTGACAGGCATTATAAGGCAATAGGGCTATTCATGGAAAGTCATTACGGTTATGTAATTTCCTAATGCAGGAGTAGACTGTGTATTAACACACTGGTTGGGAAAGATTTTTTTGCATTTGACTCGGAAACAATAAGTTGAAGTTGAAATTTGCATTTTACTTCTTGGAATTGCTGTGAAAAAGTGAACAGCTAAAAAAGGTTTTTTGGAAGCTAAAACTGGAAATTGCTAAGTTGAAAAGCGTACGTTTAAACTAAAAATTCTAATATAGATTGGGAGATGAAGATTTGTTACAGGATTAGTAAACAATTGCAAAATAAATAACAAAATATTAAAAGATCTAGTAAGATCCAAACATGAAGGAAACATAATTTACTTGCATTTCAGTCTGGGCTAAGCTGGTATAAAAGAAGCAAGTTTATAGAGACTCTTCTGAAGGTACTAAAGTTATGAAATTATACTAGGTCAGACCCGGTATCTTAACCATTTGATGTCATGTGACTAAAGGGTAAACAACTTACTTGTTTGAAATATAAATGTCTCAAAGGAAGAACTTTTTCAGATGTTTTCTGGTATTTTTCGAAGGGATCCTGTTTCGTGTGCGCTGGGCAGATCAACAACTAGAGCGTTTTGGACATAGATGTCATTCTGTTGGGGTTGTGGTGCATCAGGCCTCCACTTAATGGGAATCTTGTTGAACGTCTACCAACGTCCATTTATTACAAGCTTGTCTGTGACTATGTGGGCTAATTAACACCATCGGTCTTTTGGGCTTTCTTGAGAGCAGGAACTAAAATATGTTCCCGTATTTCTCACACGTGGAATAGCAGGTCTTCCCCCATTCTGATGTTAGACTCTGCAAGAAGATGGCGCTGGCTTCAAACGTGGTCCCTGTCTGGCTGGCAGGTAAAACGGACAATAGTCGGTCTTGGCTGTTCGTTATGTTTTTTCCAAGCCGATGAACTCTACACAATGGCATGTTGTTTACACACTGATCTGGGATTTGAGGAATATTCTCCAATACATCCTTCACAATTTTCTTTCTTTTGCCAACGTTTTTAAAATTATATACAAAACAGCTAAGGTATCACTATGGAAAGTTTTCGAAACCTGAAATTTAATATTATACATATCATCTTCGTCAGTTTGTGGAAAGGAAATCTATCACCTGACAGTCACAATGGTTGAATAACTTAATTCCGTCTTCAGAGCAGACATCAACTTACGATAATAAGCTAAAAGTGAAGAAAGAAGACTTTTGGTTGTTTCTAGGTTAATGATTTTGGGGAATTATTAATCACCTTTCAAGGCAGAAGGCTGCACACCGCTTTTCCGTTACAATTTTGGAAACCTCAAGGGGTTCACCTTGCAGAAATATATTTTTTTGTGTCACAACTCGTGGCTTCATATTCTATGCACAGCGTTACAGAGACCTTGGACTCATGTGAATCACCTAGTACTTTTTAATTGACATATCATAGTTTGGATTGGCTAAGTTCTTTTTATTTACTAGAATTAATTAATTTCCAATTAATTAACAAAAATTGCGATTGCCAGTCATTTGGTGTTTTACTACTATGACTGGTTGCTGGTCATTGAGCCGCACTGATTTGATTAGCTTTTTTTTAACTTTTCTTTCTCAGCTTATGGGTTTATTAAATAGCAGCGCAGAAAAACCCATCCTTGGAGACCCAGGGGCTACTAGCCGGGACGAAGCCATATTTTTGGCAAAAGTTTACTTCAAGAGCTGAAGAGCCCCTGGGAAGTTATTCTTACCAAAGCAGTTCCAGAAGTGGTCGAATTTTGTCCCACTGATTGGCCAGAAAAATATTTTTCTGGCCAATCAGCAAGGAGGTCCAGCCAGGTAATTCTGTCGCCTTCTTACAAGAAGTGGTTTTCTTCATCGATCATACAATCGCAAGCCGTAACATGGGAGCTAGGAAGCAATACTCTTCCATCAATTTTCTTAGTGGATTTATTGAAGGTATATTGTAAATTTTTATAGTTAATGTACGCGATTTCTACGCTGTTGTTGCTTACTTATTGTTTCTCCTTGATCGTTGAACAACTTCTGAAACTTTCCACGATGTACAAATCGCCGTTGGCCATGCAACTATGTTGACTGAACATGGGAATGATCGGCTAATTACTGCTAATTACAGTTCATGCACCGTTACTCTGTTTAGTAACACCTGCAAATTACGTAGTGTAGTAATGCAAAACCAATCACTTCTTGAAAATGCTCCACAGTCAAGTGTATTAATCATAATTAGTATTGCTTGCAAGTTTGAGATGAGTTGACATGTGCTAAGCAAAATCACTAAATAAATGCATTTACTTAATATGATGATAGGTCAAGTGAAGATATACCTCAATAAGCCGTCCAGTTTTCATACACCATACAAAGATCTCAAATGTATCCAGTGAACCAGCGCAAAGCACTTCTCCACTATTGTCCACACTCAGACATGAGAACTGGACTGCTTGGGGTGACGTAAAGGTGCGGAAATTTCTGTACCTACATGTACATAAAGGAAAAAGCTGTATATTTAAGTAATCCGCATTAACTTGACTCTAGAAATGTGTACAGTATCTTGAGAGGCATGTGTGATATTGAAGCGTACTATTAGGTTCTACAGTCAATGATGCCTCTATCTATATTTGGATTTTACCAATACAGTGACTGATAATATTATATACGAGTGGGTTACAGCCAAACAGGTGGGATTACAAAAAAGCTCCAACCTTACAGTACGATATGAACTCTTGTGGTTATTAATCTATTAATTTTTCATGATCAGTAACCATGACTTTTAAGTCATTTAATTAAACAAATTAACATGAATGAAGGGCAAAACCATTTGTCATGCCAGCAGATCTTCAACCAAACAAATTTGCATTTTAAATTTAGAGACTGTCTAACTACAAAGTACCATTTGGGAGGAAACAGTGAGAGTTAACATTCCTTCCAAGGAGGAGGAAGTTTCACGGGAAACTAAACGAGTAACGAAAGCCCTTGCCATTAATAACTACCCTGCAAATTTCATTCACAACNCGTCAGCTCAGCAATTCCACACACAACAAACTTTATGACGAAACAACACAAAGCCAGGGTACGTTTCCATTCAAAATATGGCTTGGCATGAACTTTCCACAGTCGCTGGCATAACACACAACACTATCCACAAAGCTAACACGATCAAAACACGACACGTTCATATATTTCGTAAAGCTCCATGAATGTGTCTTTTTGTCGCTACATTCAGGTAAATTTCCTGAGCGACAAGTCCTGGTGGGGTCGCCAAATGTTAGCCCTTGTTGCCACAAAAGAATAAGGCAAGGTCAAAACATGGACTTGTCCAACCGTTTTATTTTCTTTTACAGTCTCTCGACCTCATGGTCAACTAGTTTCTACATATCAAGTGACTGACTGTGACTGACTGTGTGGGGGTGGGGTGACCCCTACAAAAGCAGGAAACGTGGGGGGCTTGGAGTCTGTTGCCTGTCTTAAGATATGAAATTTTGCAATCAAGATGTAGTAATTTAAGAGATAACACTTTGGATCTTCAGTGTTGTGCCCATATAAAATCTTAAATTTGTTTAAGGAAACATTGCAACTGGAGTTTGATTCCACCATGTAAGAACATTGAACCAGTAAGCACTAAGTGATGGGCAACTCACCAGCAGATGTCATGGGGTTTCTTGGTCACCACAGTTCAAACATAAAGCAGAGTCTAATTTTCATCTTATGAAGTAACACCCTATGCAGTAGTTGAATGTTGTACATGACCTTAAACTGAAAAATGCTTAATTTTGTTTCTTTAGTTATTCTAAATGCAAGATTGTGGATTTCGTTAAGCTCTGTATACAATGTTATAGAGCCAGATTGAGTTCTATAACAAGGTAACTTCTAGGAAAAGAAAGCTTCTGATATGATTTGTATGGTAAGTAGAAATTCAAATAGCAATGTTCCCACAGAAGTGTATGGGTGTAGGATGCCACTGGAGCTTCTGGAGTTGTAGGGGAAAGTGGCTGGCACCCTAAAACCACCGTGTTTCCAACCTATGCATGTGACTAAAAGCTATGGGGATGAACAATGAACAAATCTGAGTCAGATGCAACTGGTCCTCCGGGCATGGGGAAAAATGTTATCATTGGAAACTGGGAAAATTCTTGACTCGTGCCACGAACAAACAAAAATTAGTGTAAAGGTGATAATGGATGGACAAGAAACTGAAAGCATTATGATGTTGCTTGGTGAATGCCAACAGTAAGTGCAACAATGGCTAATAAATAAATCACTAGCAATGCCAAAGATCATCAAAATGGTAGAAAACGATACTATTCTTGTTCAACAAAAATATACTTTTTGAGGAGGGGGTGGTGGTAGAAGGAACCTGGAAAATACCAAAATAGTAATAATTGAATAATAGGATAATTCAAAATAATTTCATTAATATCTGCACTTTACCTGTTGAGATCAAATGCTCTAACAGTGCCATCCAAAGAACAGCTTAACACAACTTGACTATTTGGTGTAAATACAACCCCTGTAACAGCACAGCTATGTTCATTAAATGTCACAAAACAGAAGCCTGACATCATGTTCCACAATTTAACCTGAAAATCACAGCAAAAAATTCAAACTTGGTTAAAACAACCGAGGCTAATTCAAAGTTGTAAATAAGGGCTTAAAATACTGTAACACCACAATTCCTCAGTAAAACACAGCATTCAAAAAGTTTTTAATCACAGAGCTACAAGATACACAGATCTGACAATTGAACTGCTCACATGGTCAATGAACCATCAGTCATGATTTACAATACCGTAAATGATAGCAACGACCCCGCTAAAGTAACCACTCCCCAAAAGTAACGTCAAACTAGTGAGACAATCTCAGATAGTGCAGAGTGCAATTGATAGCTCTGGCACGGTAGTCCCGTAAGTACTCAACCCTGCTCAGTTCACTTTCGGTTTGTGTCTACCTTGGTAGTCTGCTAGGGCTTTTCCCCTTTGCAGTGTGTATGTTTCAAGGTTGTATTTTCATTCACAGTCCAAAAATTATGTACAAATTACTACTGGTGTTTTATGTTGATTTTCGTTCTTTTAAATTCAATAATACGTTGAAACAGCAAACATGACAATTTAGATCTTCACACCAACTTTGTAACTTGATACTTTTGTTTTCCTCGCAAAGGCACGCAATGTGAAACCCTTGTTTTCTTGAAAACTCATGGAAGATGTGCTTGTGTTTTGCAGATAAATGAAAGAAAGCTAAATATCTGATGTAGTGATCAAGAAACGGAACAGAAACGATGTTGTTTTACTAAAAATGTAAATTTTCTTATCACCGACGAACAAGAACTAATTCAATTATCAGATGGTCATGAAATACCACTTTCTTTTTCTGTTGCCACCTTTCTTTTTCTGTTGCCGCAATGAATCCTCCACCTAATATAGAAGCCACAAACGCTAACTAATCTATGCATGCGTTTAGAGCAAATTAGTTTCGTTCTAAACAGAATGGTACCACAAGGAGAGCAAGGGGTTTCCTGAAACAAATATATAGCTTTGCAACTAACTGACAGAGATGGAACATGTTTTACGTAGAGTACACATGTATGCACCTTTCCCACCCCACCCCCACCACTTCCTTGCCTCTAGACTAATTAATTAATTGAAATTAATTAATTAAACAAACATTAAAGTTTACAACTTAGCGTCATAGCACCATAGCGCAATAGTGCCTTAGCAGCAGGTAGCCCCCATAACCATCCCAATAGTGCACTCTGCACTAAAAATTGTGGCCACTAATAAATTTTGAAAAGTAGTGAGCCCTCTGAAAGTAGCGACCCCCTAAAGTAGCGATAGTAAAATTACTTTGTTTAACTTGATTTAAGGCACTCTGTAACAAAGGAAGGTATTGCTTACGCCACAAAAAGCTGTGAAATGTCAGTTTGCTTGTGCTTCATCAGTTAATATTGCAGTGCATTAAAACAACACCCATAGAATTTTTATCATGTAACAGGAATGTACTATAGGAGACTTTCGTTCACGAAAATTAATATCATTTTCAACGGAGGCGTTTCAACAGGAGCGTTTTTCAAATTTAAGGTAATTGCCCTGAAATAAAACTGTCAATATAGTTTTGCTCAAACTTTGTCCACTGAATATGTATCATATGAGAACTTTAATTATAAAATAAAAGGGGGTGCCCTTGCTTGTTAAGGAGCAGTGAGGCATTGAAAATGTCCCATTTTGGCATTACTTAATGCTTATTACAGGTGTAAAATCTTTGTGAACCCAGACTCATGAAAACATGCCTCAAACTACAGTCAATACTTGTGTTGGACACAAATAAACTTTTCAAGTTTGATTTTAAAAGACAGCTGAATCCTTGTTAAAATATTGGAACCAAATTTAACTTGCCAAGGCTATCAAACTTTAATTTTCAGAAATAGAAATCAGAGCAGTCTTTTCTCATGCAAAACAAATGATTAGTTGATTAAAATGACTGGAAAACAAATTGGGGTGCCCAAGCTCGTTAGTGAGCTATAGCCATTTTTCAACTGACAGAACTCAATATCAAGGCAAATCTGCCATGTTTTCAATGTGCGCATGCACGAGCGCACTCATTTGTGTTGAGTAATCTTACGTGGCGTAGAACTCATGTCATGGCTGGGTGACTTGGCAGGAATCCAAAGGTAAATGTAAATGTTTTACAGCATTTTCGTTGAGGACAAGGAACTTGACTCTAATTTGCAATTAAAGATTAGAGCAGTGACAGTAACGTNGCAGAAAGATGAAGATCCCAGTCCTTTTGGTCCTCTTTAGTCTTTCTATGTAAAGAAGATTTTGTAATGTAATATACACGGTAATCTGTAAGACTAACCTTGCCATCATCACCACCAGTTGCAATATAGTGTCCATCTTGAGAGTAACATAGAGTATTCATATTATAGTAGTGTCCTTGCTGTTTGAGAATGTATGTCTCACTTTGCCATTCCCACACCAACAACTGTCCTGTGTTACTACATCCAAATGACAGCCACTCTCCACTTGGATTAACGGCCACTGTCCTGATACTCTGCTGTGATATACTGTGCAAAGATGATACAGTTGATAATAAATCATGCTGCACTTAATGCCTTTGAATAATTTCTTAGACTAGACTTCTTTACACAGTCACAATGAAACCTGGTTATGAAATAATACAATACAACTATAACAGCCAGTATTTTAAACTTTTTATTATGAAGTTGCCAAATATCAAAACATGACTGTATGTTAATTATCACCTTTTACATCAAGTGTTGCTCCAGAAATAACACATAATCCCCTAAAAGAGGGATNGCTGATGGACTAGATTCGTCGCCTCCTGGCATTGTTTAATGTTGAGGGTTTCCAGCTACTGCTGCCACCATGTAATATTTAGGCTTCAAAGCAAGGATTTATTCCGCATGCAAGACATACAACTCAAGAAGTGAACAAGATGGCGGATCACGAAAAGCACCTGGACCCAAGATGCAACAGGGTCTTATAACTAGAAAACCGGAAGTCTGATGTAATGAACAACTAATCCAACAGTTCCTGGCCGAGTTGTCAGAACATGATGTCACCATGGGTTTTTTAGAGGTGTAAAGCCGACTATAAAAAGAATTGCATTCTTTTAAAATATCTGAGTCGTTTGTAGCATATGAACTGTTGCTCGTCTTAATCTGCGTTATTGTTTTCCTCTTAAAGTGTCTATTTTCTAAATCCAAGAAATATTTGCTATTTTTCTCACCTTCGTTGTACCATCTGACGTTAGATCTAATTATGGCCCCTTTTGTTTTTTACTGTATAATGTTTTCCAATTCATTTTTCTTGCACCTTATTTGTTCCTCAAGGACATCTTTATTATTTACACCCTGTTCTAATTGCTCTTCTACGGTGGCTAGTGCACTTTCAATATTGGTCTCTTCATTTTTCATCTTCTTCATTTTGACTTTGGAATATTTCATGGAGGCATCTCTAATTTTAAGTTTTATCATTTCCCACAGTAACACTTCATCAACTTCTTCATTATTTTGGTACTCACTGGCTGGCCTAAAATCTAGCTTTAAAGTTCCCACTTCAGCCACGCCCAATGACCGTGAGTCAGTGCAAAAAAAGAGTCTGGGTTTCTGAATGGGTCGTGACATCAAGTCAGGAATTACCAAATCCTGCTAGTTGAGGTCACTGTTGTTTCAGTAGTGGTGAGGAGTTTTTGTCAACAAAACACAAACAAACTGAGGTTGGTGAAACAATGCGGTTGTCAGGCAAGCAAAATAAAAGCATGAAGCTTTGAGACGTTCCTGAAGTGACGTCATTCATCACCAATCTTTCATTACATGGTCAACTTCATTAGGTGTGGCCGAAGTGGGAAATTTAAAGCTTGATTTCACGGCAAAAAAAGCATCGTAATTCATTTTTTTGCTTTGAATACATTTTTAGATGTTATAGAGATACCAAAACCACAAAAACCCTGTAGGCCGTATGGATACTTTAAAGCAAAGTATAATTTTCAATATTATGACTCAGAGAAAATTACTTCATTGTGATTGGATAATTCTTAATTATTGCAGTCCAGATTAATGCGTATGCATTCCCAATTTTTTCAGCCATATAATAAATGAGCAATTCAGGATTTACACTACTTGTGATATTTGAAAACTCTTTCAAATGGCACTCGCCTAAAGATTCACACAAATTTGAGAGAATTTTCAAATATCACTTGTAATGGCACATGTACTTTGACAATGTTATGATGAAATTAATGATCAATAACAGGACAGACGCATGAACTGAGTCAACGTCAATTTGTTAAATTTCATCATAAAATACCTTAAAGTGTGAATAAGAATAAAATCTGGTACTTCATGCAGTGAGAACAGACCAGTTGAAAATCCGGCAATCAGAAGGTGAGATGATTTGTGGAAAGCAGTGGTGGTTAGTTCAGCAGAGCCATCTTGGTTGTAGTAGTGCCTACAATTAAGACAAAATTAAGAAAGTTAAGAGAGAGAGATGAAAATCACCGCAGGAAGTGTCTCTACACTTCTCAAACTCATTAATAATTCATCAAGTTTAAACAAAGTAAATCATGACCATGACGGTGTTTGGATATATGATCCTAATTAGCATAGATTTTTATGATTTTAATTCTCCGTTTTCTTCTTAGTTTTAGTTTCGATTGAGAAGATATATCAAACACTCAAGACAGTGTGGGTGACCACATTTCCAAACACCTCGAAGTTCATCAAAAATACTCCCCTATGAGTTGTATTTTCAACTCTCTTCTCGGTGTTTGGAAATGTGGCCAAACAAGGTCATTTGTGTTTGAAATATTACTTCCCAGTACAGGAAGACTTTGTGATACTGGTGCAAATGTTCTACCACTGATCGAGCTATGAAGCTACTGGGAACTGGTCAATTGCAAGAATAGTACAAAGTAAATGGCTATGTTTATATGGTAACAAACGAGCAGGTGTCTTTTTGAAGTATTACAGTGTAAGTTGCTGGCATCTGTTTCAAGTCAAGCACTGATTCGAGTCTGACTTATGTACTGATTAAGTCACCTCATTTAAAAAGGGTGCTAGCTCTTCAGCACTAGTTAGGCTGGTATCAGTAGGGGCCCTGACTACTATAAACATAGGCACGCAAGGCGTGCAAGAGTTATTATTTTTTTTGTGAAGTCTCGGGGATAGGAGCATGTGGGAGCTGTTTACATAGCCTGCGTAGCAAGCGTTTCCGTGGGGTTTGGAAGCAAAGAAAGACCGAGGAACAGGATTTTCGGTGTTTTGTCTGCGCGAAAAATGGGGCG